ATTCACAAGAGAAGGCTGAGAGGTGATCTTGTGGCTGCCTCTAAATTCAACAGGGGAGCGCAGCAGGGAATAGGAGATGATCTATTTACTAGGGCACCCCCAGGAGTAACTAGGAATAATGGCCACAAATTGACAGAGAACAGATTTAGGTTGGCCATTAGAAAGAATTTCTTCACAGTAAGTGTTGCCAGAATCTGGAATGGGCTTTCAAGGGAGGTGGTGTTCTCCCCTACCTTAGGGGTCTTCAAGAGGAGACTAGACAAGCACGTAGTTGAGGTCATCTGACCCGAGTGCTCTTTCCTGCCGAGGGCAGGGGGTCAGACTCGATGACCTACTGAGGTCCCTTCTGACCCTAACATCTATGAATCTATGAATTACTAGGATTCATATGAAGTTCCCTTTAACATAATGTCTGCTTAAAAATCAACTGCAAATAAAATGTGTGTGTACCATGTACACATGCATACCAATCTACAGCCAAGCAATACTCATCTTAACACTAACTCTAATGTATGTGCTTTACCACCCAAAATACACCACCACCCAATGGTATGGGATTCCTGTCACATCAGGAAGTTCCTGCATTCTGCTACCTCACACAGACTCTTTCCTGAAATGTCACATTCCCTGGACACTGTTTCCAAGAATACTTACTCTATGTCACACAGTCAGTCATGACCCTAGAAAAAAATCTTTTTTTCCTAAATTCTGCCTTCCAAAATCAAAGATGCATGTTTTATCTGGGGGATGTTTATATGTGAGAAAATATGGTAGTCTCAAATTTACAACCTTTATTGCAACCTTTTAAAGACAGTAATAACTAGGGATGTGTGAAGCTTTGGTCCCTGATTCAACTCAGTGGAGATTTGGTCTGATTCGGTGGCCAAATCTCTGAATTGAATCGGGAAACCCTTTAACCTCTCTGAATTGAATTTGAACCCTCTGAATCGATTCAGAGAGATTCAGAAAGATTTAGTGATTTGGACATAGACACATCTTTAAATGTTTTTTCTACATACCTCAACGTAGCAGGCAGCTCGTGAATACTGAGATGGTGGGCTGCATGGAGTGTTCCACAGGAGCTCAGGGGGCTCCCCAGCGTGCTCGGCAGCAGACCCAGAAGTGGACCAGAAGCACTTCTGGTCCACTTCCAAGTCCACCAGAGAACGCTTGGCGACTGGTACCTCCTGAGTCTGGGGGGGCACCCAGGGTCCCCCCATGGCTGCTAGCTGAGCCGGAGGGGCATGGGGGGGGGGCGCCCAAGTGCACTCGCCGGCAGACCCAGAAGTGGACCGGAAGTAGTTCTGGTCCACTTCTGGGTTTGCCACTGAGCACATGGGCATCCTCCCTGCACTCCATCCACCCCAGAATCGTAGCATTCACAAGCCACACTTGATACCTCAAGGTATGTAGAAAAAATATTTAAAGTTGTGTTTATGGCCAAATCATTGACTCTCCAAATCAGCATTGAATTTTCAGATTCAGATTTGGCCAAATTGAATCAGAGACAGTGATCCAAATCAACTAATCGAATCACTGTCCCTGATTTGGGCCAAATAAGAATGCAAATCGAATAGGGCCTGTTTTGCACACCCCTAGCAATAACAGCTTACTCAAGTGAAAGCATTCTATATCACTACCTTGTCTTAAGGTCATTGAGATCAAAGTTAAGGTTGGCCCTTCAAGTTGGAATAGATTTTGGTGTAGATGTGAACAACTCTCAAAACTGGATTTGGGCTTTGCAGCAGGGAATTGGGAGTTGATGTTATCTTAACTGGGGACTGCATTGGAACAGTCATTGGAACTTCATTGGAAGTTAATGTTCAGGGGGTTCAAGGGGAGTCAGCAGAGATTGGTAAATGGGGTAGCATGGACAACTGTTAAGGACAGTGGACTGAGAAGCAAACAGACATTTGATGGATGAGTGGTTAGGGTGCTGGGAGAATACAAGGTGCTAAATAGGTTGGGAGGGAACATGGACTGTATGACTACAGAAATCCTAAGGTTTCAATGAGGCAAAGTGGGATATTAAATTTTTAAGTCTGAAAGGGAGTCTGGGGAAGGAAGCCTAGAAGAGGAACAAGTAATGACTGAACTATAAAAAAAAAGATGCAGAGAATTTTCAGGTGAGGGAAGTATGGAAGTCTCTGGGGGATATCAAGGAATATGTGATATATATGGGCCTGCCAACCGTGTTGGGCAGAGCCAGAAAAAAGCCAGGTAACAATCATTCAAAGCTGAATGATGTCATTGTCTTCTATTTTCCAAATATATATGTTTATATCAATTCTCCTTTAGAGGATAACTGTGCTAAATATGGACTAAATTCAATCATACAGAAAGAGAGAAGAACTTCATACTAGCACACCTTAGGAGGTTTGTCAGTGTCCTAGTAGTGACCCTGATCAGGTCTGTGACACTTTGGGACTTACAAGGGATATTGGGCTGAAAGAAAGGGTCAGGAGCTGATGGGATCTGTGTGTCTGGTGTGAAGCTGGGAAGCCAGAGAAGCAGGACAGGGAGGAAGCAGCAGTAAACTGAAATTCATGGTGGATATGGGAATGCCCTTTGGCTTTCCTAAGCATAGATCAAAACTGTTCAGATGAAGAAGGGGAATAACTTTTATTACATTTAAAATTACATTTAAAATAACCTCTACCCACAATATTATTTTAATACATGCTTTTGTGTGCAGTAACTATGGTAGACTCTGCTTCAGGCACCTAATTTTGAGAACTGGATTATTTTAATTAATTCCTCTAGTAAAGTTGGTGACTATATTCTCTGAAAAATGGGTTAGAAAACTCAATAGGTTTCTGAACAATAAGTGTGGTAAATTTGAAGACTAAATTTAATCAATGAACTGTGATCTAAAGGGATTTAATCCTGTTTTAAGTAAAAGTCTTAATGTAGTTTTAACTATGGACTCACTACCATCACTTCAGTAATATTGATAACCAGTGCACATCTCATGAGATCCCAGAGGAATGCCATTTAACATTCATTTATTTAAATAACTATCATGGCAAATATAAGGAAAACAAACCTGCTGCTAATGTGGAATGTTTTTAGCACACAAATGTTTTTTCCAATTAAAAAATTAATTTGGGAAGAATAATGACAACGCATCTAGGCTGTCAATCACTCTTATCTGTGAATATCTATTGTAATCCAGCTTTGAAGACATTTGAAAGAGGAGTTTGTGCAGCCTTCATTTCAGACCTGTTGATTTGCATGTATCCTGATATCATTAGAGTTGGAACTTCCAACACGTCATGTAGCTTACTGCCCCCTGCATTGTTTTCCTTACCTCCAAATCATCTGATAGATGGCATCTACTAGCTATCTAAATACAGCCTATGCATCTCTAGTGAAGGCATAATCAACTGGGCAATATCAGCCTTTTTCATTAATATAATAAACATGGTATTATATGTTTATGGTGGCTTACCTGCCAAGGTATAGATCAAATAAGCAAATGACACCCCAAATAAAAATCCTTGACAAAACAATGGGGAAGTTGTGTATTGAAGAATACCCCTACCTAGCTGCAGCCAACCTAAAGACAACTGACGCATCCAAGAGCTGAGCCCAGGATCAGGAAAAAGATTTTCATCCTTAGAGGATCCAGCACTTAAAAAAGGGTCATTGTTCAATGAGAAGTCAGAGTGTATAGAGTGAACTGAGGAAAGCTAACAGGTTGGTAACAGAGGAAAAAGTGAGGCAAAACTGCAGAAAGGACAGTCATCTCCTCATAGCCCTGGCCCAGAAGTAACTGGGCTGCCAAGGGTAATTAAAGTATCTATGGAAAAGCTTAGGCTTAGAGAAAAAGAAAATTGAATATGAGCCTTTACTGTATTTACTCTTGATTTTGCATGCTGGATACAGACTCTAAGCCACCTCACTGATCGCCAACACCTGGTGTGAAAAGATTTTTAGGTGCCAAGTCACATTTACCAAAGTCCATTACATTCATCCAGAAACATGAGTGAATAGATGGTGATTCGCAGCTTGGACAGCTTGCTCATATGCATTCAAAATATTTATATATGCTCCTATGCCTGTTCAAAATATTTCTGTTCCTAGTGGCAGGCTTCAGTTGGTGCAAAGTAGCATAGCTTCACTGAGTACAAAAGGGGTGAAACTACCTGAGGATCTGGCCCTGAAGCTTATTCTAACATTTAATGTTAACATTCCAGGCTGAAGTTTACCCTGACTATATAATGTTCTATTTGCTTCATGTTATTTTTTGTGTGTCCTCTTTATAATCTCCCTATTGCCATAGATTATGTTTGAGGTAAATCAGAACCAAGAATGTAGTTACAAAAGCAACTGTGGTAAATTCAAGGGAGCTCCTCCCTTCACCCCCAACCTTTCTTTGAGGAACAGGCTGCTTACTGCATGGCAAACGGATGCACACCAGGCAGTTACTGCAGTGTAACTGTGGTGTTCTGCAAATTTGGACCGTACTTTGCCTTTCAGGAACACGCTTGTGCAGCTATCCCCTGAGCATATTTAGTCCAGGAAAAGGTAAAATAGAAGCATCATTATTTATAAATATGGCTCAATTCTGAGGGATGTGAACACCAGCAAATACTGCTGAAAATAGCTGAAGAGAGCATTAGGACAGATGGGTGGCTAACATGTTAGCATTCTGTTACCTGCTTCCTTTGGCGAGAGAAAATACATGCAATGAACAGAAAGTTATTTGAAAATATTGCAAGATTCAAATTACGCACAGCCCACAGTTCTAGCTTAACGAAATAGGGGCTTGATTTTTTGTACAGACTTTCTGAACAGAATTATGCTCAAGAGTGACCAGTTACAAGGCCATACATTAAATTATTTTGCCAAGATATCCTTATTTATTTTAAGATGTCCTAGCTGAAGGAAAGAAAAAAAGTGCTCTGTCCTTAATGGTATTTACACTGACATCATTAAAACACCTAAGAAAGCTCCTTGGTGAAATCTAGTTGCAGAAGGTTGCCAAGAGATGGTACCTGTTTTTAATGTGTTGGGGAGAACCAAGACACTGGAAACTGCCATCAACCATAATAGCAAGCCGCGTGCAGAGTGCTTCACACTCCTCCATGCTAAAAAAGAGATATGAGAACAACAGTTATGACACAGTAGCCATATATTTGTAGCTACCTTTAGTTAAAATCAAAATAAACCCAAATGATGGAGGAAACAGTACACAGACCCCTTCACATCTGCCTCGCCAATACAAATACAACTCTAGTAGAGAATAAAGTGACAGCTGGCTGAATCTTATAACATTAGAAAAGCACTACTACTTGCTGGAGACAGAAATTACACATAAAACAGTATAAGTGATTGGAAACCAGTCTAAACTGGTAACAGAACAGAAGTTCAAAATGGCCGAACCCAGTTTAAGACAGACTTAGAAGGATGTAGTATCAGATTTAATCAGTTTAGGTTAGACTGGTCTAACAAATTTCTGTCCCAGATCAACAGGCAGCAGAAGGCTGGGCTAATGGGGCTAAGCCCCGCCCCCCAGATGTGGGGCAGTGGTGGCAGTGCAGAAGGCCACAGGGCAGCCCAGGCACAGGCTCCAGTGGCTGCAGCAGGGAACATGCACAGAAACAGCCATGCAGCTGCAGCCTACATGCAGCCAGGATTATTGCACCGCAGCAGCTTGAGGAGCACTGCTAGGGTTACCATACGTCTGGGTTTTCCTAGACATGTCCTCTTTTTGAGTCCTCCTGTCTCCATCCGGGTGGGTTTTTCAAATCTGAACAAATGTCTGAGTTTTTGCTTTGTCTGCTTGGCGGGAGGAGGGGGAGGGGCAATTGTAGGCAGGGAATGGCAGGCAGGTAAGTGCGTCTGCATTCACCCCAGGAGCTGCAGGCAGGTAAGTCTGGTTTGGAGGGCTGAGACTGGGGCTGTGACAGGGCAGGGAGGCTGTGGGGGAGGGTGGTGCCTGCCCCCTCCAGCAAGGGAAGGGGCCTTTCAAGAGCCATGGCTGGGCCAGCAACACAGGGACCAGTGCCCATGCTTGCAGGGGCAGAGCAGCCAGGAGATGCTGCAGGGGGAAGCAGAAGGTAAGGCGTGGCCAGGCCTCCTTGCATGGAGCGGCAGGTGGAGGGTGTCACAGGCCTCCCCTCCTCTTTCCTCCAGCCCCCTCTGGACTCGCTCTGAGCTACCACGCTCTAGCCTGGTCAGGACAGGAGCAACTGGGGCCCCTCCGGCAGGGCTGGGGGGAAGTAGGGAGCTGCAGGTGAGGAGCGAGGGGCACCAGCAGGGCTTGGGGCAAGCAGAGGGCTGTTGGTCAGGAGTTAGGGGTACCAGCATGGCCCAAGGGAACAGGGTACTGTGATTTGGGAGTGAGAGACACTGGCAGTGCTGGGGTCTGTGGGGTCGGGAGTGAGGGACAGCAGCAGGGCTGAGAAGGCTTTGGCTTAGGAGCCAGAAGCAACAGAAGAGGCAGGGGAAGGGCACTGCCCACAGTCACATTTCCCCAATCACACCCAGACACAGGCAAGGTGTCCTCTTTTTTGGAACTGAACGTATGGTAACCCTAAGCACTGCCCACCACAGCAGGCAAGTCTGGGAAGGGGCATGGGGGGGTGGGGAGGGAGAAGATCAAGGCCCCCACAGTGAGGGAAGGTGTGGGGCAGGGACGGAGGTGAATGAAGCCCCAGGGTGGGTTGTGGGATGGTCGAAGCCTAGGTGGCTTGTCCTTGTCCAGGGGTGTGAAGGGACTCCCGGCACTGCATGCACCCCGGGGGAGGCACAGGGGGCCCTTGTCCCCCAGATTTCTGCAAGGGAATGAGGCAGGCTACCTGCTGCATGCTGGGCTTTGAACCCCACTGCCGCTGTCTCGGGAGCCATGCGATGCTATGTTTCTGCCATGGCCAGGCTGCGCTGCATCCCCTGCCCACCAAGTGGTGGCAGGCACATGGCATGGCACACAGCATCCAAGGCAGCAGGGCACAGAGCCCCATCCTGCAGCAGCAGCCTGCCTCCACCCCATGCACAAATCCAGAGGCACATGTCCTCCGTGCCTCTCCCAGGGTGCGCGCAACTGTAGGAGCCCACCACCCCACACGCTCCTCTGGATGAGGCGCCCAGGCCCCGACTGTCCCATTACTCATCCCAGCCTCAGGGCCCCATTCACTCCAGCCCCTGCCCCACACCCTCCCCCACTGTGGGGGCCTCAATCTGCCCTGCTGTGCCCCATCCCTCTCTCCCCACCCCTTCCCCTCCACAGACTTACCTGCGGGGTGAGGTGTGTGTGCAAATGTGTGTGTACTCAGCCCCCACAAATAATATTTTCTCCCTCTGCCTATGTCCTGATCCCATAGCAAATCATTTAGTTTCCTCTCCTCTAGCATCCCAGGATGGCTTATGGCTCCCAGCTAATCCCTCTTGCAGGGCAGCAGGCTAGTCTCTGCCTCCCTCTCCCCCATCTGTGCCAGCTCAGCCAGGCTGGCCCTGCCCCAGGGCTGTTATACAGCTGAGGCAGCAAAGCCTGTGCATCCTCTCTGCACCTGTCAGACCTGCAGGACAGTGGGAGGAGGCAGGGGAACAGATCCTCATGCTCCAACCAGGGCCTCAGAGCTGCAGCCCCTCATGGGGTTTTCCCTTCCCTGCCCCAGGCTCCCCTTGAGCTGGGGTCTGCCCAGCTGTGTTTTCCCCACCCCAGCCTGGCTGCACAGCCCTAGACCCCTCCAGTCACTGCCTTTGACCTGCAGGGGGACTGGCAAAGGAGTCCCTGTCCTGATGCCAAGGTGGAGTTTTCCCCTACTCCAGCCTGGGGTCCGCCCAGCAGCAGAGAGCACCACACCAGGGCTGATTCCCCCTTGCACTGCTAGGCCAACTACTCAGTCCTTCCCCCTTCCAGTCTCTGACCCACAGGGGGTAGGGGAAGAAGCCCCCATCCCAATGCCAAGCAGGGATATGCCCTCCACTCCCCTCACTGGCCCGGATCAAGCCCACTGCCCCCCCGTCACATCTCCCCAGAACCCCCGCTCACCTTCCCCTGCCCCCTGATTACCTGCGGCTGCCCAGGAAACAGGCAGGGAAGGGTTAAACTGCCCAGGTCTGCTCTGCACAGCAGGGCAGACAGTTTAACCCTTTTCTGCCTTTTCCCTGGGAGAGACAGCATGGGCAGCCACAGGTAATCAGGGGCAGGGAGAAAGTAAGTGGGGATTTTAGGCACTGGGGAGAGTAAGAGGGACAGTAGGCGCAATCCAGGCCAGAGGGGAAGGAGGCAGCCCAAGCTCAACACAAGGATGGGCAAACCTTCCCCCAACTTGAGGGGGCACAGCAGGGAGCTGGGTACATGCCAGGCAGCCAATGAGGAATGCCCCCCACCCTGCTAGGCCTCGCTGGGCAATGGTTGTCAGGGTGGGAGGCATGCTCCAGCGCACCCCTCCACCCCAGCCCTGCCTTCTGGCCTGGGCCAGTGCAGGCTTCTGCCTGCCTTGGCCAACCAAAGACTGAACATGAGTTAAGTTTGTTATCAGTCCAATTTACACACTAGAGAAATCTGTGAAAACTGGATTGATTTCACCTCAAGCTTTTTGACTGTCTGTACTTAGCCTCAGTGTTAGATATTTAACGTATCTGCAGCCACAGAAGAAATGCTGAGGGCTCTCAACATGGTGCTTTCTTCCATGCATTGTGAGTGGTCACTCCAGGTTCAGGTTGGGGCAGTACTGAAATGTGTACAGCTGTGTCTTAAATTTGTAAGCATGCTTAAAGAGGAAGGCAGGATTACATGGGACCAAACAATGCCCTAAAATTAACTCAAACATGAATTTAGGATGGAGCAACAAAATTTCAAAGAGATGCATCCTGAAATTTGAATATTTCAGGATGTATCATCCTGGCTGACCAGAACTACAACACTGTTACTTGGGAAAGCACTGGAGCTGCATTTCAGGTATTCCCAGGGGTGGTAACTCATTCATACTAGGGCAGGAATTAGCTAGACCGCTAATTAGCTTTGACCTGCAGGGGGACTGGCAAAGGAGTCCCTGTCCTGATGCCAAGGTGGGGTGCCCCTCTAATATGCAAGTGTGTTACAACTCTTAAAGAGGGGTCACAGACGCATCCTTCTCCCAGTAAAAGAGGAAAGCTAGCACCAAGAGGTACCCTCGTTGCAGGGACAATGACTTTCAGCAGCTCCTTGTAGGAGGATGCCACTAGGGTTTTGGTAAAATACTGCAGTCCAACAATTGACACAACCTGAAAAACTGAAGCTCCATCTAAAAATCAGGATACTTGACTTCAAAGATAAGGCCCAGATCCCATTCCACCACCAGGCCAGCTAAGTAGCATTTAGAGGTTTAGGTGCCAATGTCACTAAATGAAATCCTAAATTTCACCCTCCATCTACAGCATCTACAACCTGCTAAGATGCCCATATTCTCTCTCTCGCTCTCTCTCTCCTTTTTAACCTGGAAAGACCCATGACTAGACTTGGCCTACTGTGCATGCTCAGAAATGATCCAGACAGTCACCTTCATGTCTTCCTTCAGCCAGGTTCAATTGTGAGCCAATACCATCTGGGAAGCTGATAAAACTTGCATACATGTCTGCTTCTTGAGTCAGAGAAAAACCTTGAGGAGTGACTGCTTGATACTGAGACCATGGGAGGAGGTGCCCCCACCCTGTATCTTCAGCCTCCATCCTCAATGTAATTTATGCAGTTTGTATTACATTGTCAATGGATAAAATGTGAACAAAAACCTGAAAACAGGGCCAGGACCAAGGGCTCTCTCCTTAATTGGGCAGCTTGTGCTCACTGTACTTCTGGCCCTGTGACTCCTCCATTCCTTGATGCCCAATGGCCCAACTTCAACAGGTGAGATGAAGGATGCCCTCAGCCCTGCCTAATTCATAAAATGGTGATGAAAATACTTTCATGAGAAGTGAGACGTGAGCTTAAGTATCCTCTATGCAAGAAAGGACTAGAGTCTCCCTCTGTTAGGGTACTGGACAAAAGGCTGAGGGATGCCTCCTCCAGAAGTGGAAAAGCCCTAAGCTTAAATTGTCAGACTATCACTTAACAACCATTCCTCTTTTCTGTTTGCTTGTGATGCACAAGAAACTCAATTTCTAAAAAAAAAATATTATTTATCATTTAAAAGTTCCTATGAAAATCTGGCCTCCAAACTTAAATCTTTCCTTTCTACAACCTGTAAAAACAAAGTGTTATTAATTAGAATGGAAATCTGTGTAGACAACTGTTGCTAAATATTAGTCCCCTAGTTCAGAGTCATTCACTTGTAAAGTTATTTCCTGCAAGTTATTTGAAGAATTTCACTATCATGATTACAACAGAACACAATTAACCTTTGGTTTATTTGCTGAATATGAAAATTATGCCTTTTTTGTTTTACACTATGAACTGAACCCTATCTGTGTCATTTACTGATGACTGGTTTCTTAAGCCATATGGTATCAGGCATAAACACTCATGCCTAACTATTCAGATTCCGTTTCAATGATCACTTAAAAATGGCTCCAAAATGCATTTTCTGAGAGCATTTTGCTGGTAAATCTAAAACCTTTAAACAGCCCTATATAAGAAACATATCTGGAACACATCTAAAGCAAATTAATTAAAAAATATCTAACAAATCTTTATGGAATATTTTGTTGCATTATTTTATCAATTAATTTACGACTTCAAAACTTGATTTGGCCAAAATATTAATTCAGTGTTTCTATTAATTAATATGGCCCCTTATGGGCATACTTTTCTAATTACACAGCTAAACATTTCCATCCACAAATCAGACTGCTCCCTCATTGTAAGCTATTTTATATATAAATATGCCTATTATACTGAATGCCCTGCAGGGGATATGCAGTTGATTCAAGTTAGCATAGGTGCTACAAAAGAGTTTCAGTGCTTCTGCCATTAAAGTGAAGAAATTGTGATCATAGCAAGGAGTCTTGGCAAGATCCTCAATTCTGTATAGGGACCAGGTGTGGCACACAGACAGTATATACCACATCCACCAGGGAGCAGCAGGCTCTGACATGCTGATGCCAATCCAGAATTCTTAGTCAGTTCAGCAGAGGGGCATCCCAATTCTCCTCCATCTCTCACCATACCCATGAAGCCATAGTCTAATCCTTAATACTTTAACCGAGAGAACATGGAGGTGATTTCATATTTCACCAACGAGAAGGAATTGCCAATCATAGCAAGAGACCCTAGCACTTTATTCTACACTTGGGTACCAGTTTTTCCCCCTCAGAAGTGTGTTCACTGGCACTTAACCAAAGGAAATATTTAGAATAACAGAAAACATTTCCTGCTGGGACAGTATCTCACCTGTGTGATGTCAGCACAGCTGCACAGCCATCCTGAACTTCCTGCATGATTGTTTTCCAGAGGTACCGCTTAGAGTATGGATCCATTCCAGAACTGGGCTCATCCTGCAGGCACAAATGCATCCATTCACCACATTACTTTTCATTCCATCCAGGAAGAGCACACACCAACTGCTGAAACTTCCTTAGCCTGACAAAGGGTTTTTGAACTCGGAAGCTTGCTTAATAACTATTCTCCAACTATTTGGGTTGGTCTAATAAAAGATATCAAATTCACCCAAGGAACCTTGTCTGCCTATGTCCTTAGACCAACACGGCTACAACCTACATCCCTCCATTCACCACAGGAATATAGTAGAGGCGATGAGAAGCCTGGAAAATGTCAGACAGCACCAGATGCTCCTGGCACAATCCATTTATAAGTGGGGACAAGGGAGTTCTGTGAACCTGGACTCTCACAATTCTTCTGGTTTATTGTAGGGGTGAGAAGGCTTGGTGGGCTGTGTTTGCTGCCCTGTCCATCTAGAACTTGTGGGTCTGCCTGCAGACGGCATGGACTATCAAACTGGAGGTCCTGTATCTCCATGTTGCCCTTCCTGCATGTGTCATATCTGTGCACAACTGGATCACAGCTTAACTTCCCTAGACTTCCCTAATCAGCAAGGACTTCCGTCTAAAGGAAAAAGTCCAGTCCATATTGCAGGAAACAGTGGTCTCAGCAAGGATTGCCTTAATGCAAGACTTCCCCCAATGACCAACTGTCCTCCTAAATTGGCCAGTTCATTGTACTCTGCTTCCAAAACTGGGAGGCTTCTCTGGAAAATGAAATGCAGCTCTTGGAATGGCACCATCCTTCTGTGTCCAGTAAAATGGGCTTAGATGTCAGCTGAGATGACCTAGACTTTCAAATCCATTCTCTCTGGTTTCATAGGGCTAGACAAGACAGGGCTTTATGACACTGGCCTTCAAGACAGACAGTAAGGACCTTGTTGCTTATTTTGTAAAGAAAAATCTCGGCTGAAATGTGTAAACAAAGATCTCAGCATTCCCAGTATGCTGCCTAAAACCTGATTGTCACTTAGTTACAAAGGCCACAAGCAGAAAGAGAGTCCAGCTCAGTCCCTTACAGTTGCCATCTCAGCTCTCTATAGTTGACAGGTGTAAAAATCAAGGGCCAAATAAAACAAGCATGTTCCATTTACACCCCAGGGTAGGGTAAATTGGCACTATTTTCAAGTCACTTTAGTACAGAAAAGCCATTGAAATTCTTCATAAATAAACCCTTTTAAAAATCCTTTATCCTTCCCAAAACACTGGTATGTATGCATCTTTTTGAGCATTTGTTATTTGAGTGTGGATTTTCTTCTTGACATTACACATGTGATGGTGTATGCCTCACAGTAAGAGGCAAATTGAAATGGCTGCCTGCAGTGGCAGGCTGTCATAAAGAGATTAAATAACAGTGGGAGCATCTTCTGAGATCAGGAACGGCTTTGACTTAAGATACCTCGTCCTTTTGCCAATTCATCCAACCTAAGCTAAAAATAAGTAAAACTGTCCAACCTATAAGTGAGCCAGTGATATAAAATTAGAAAAAGTAAAATATATCTGGTTCTAGGAATGCACACCAATTCAGACACATTGGAGGCATGCACAACTTTAGTTTAACCCACCTCCGTTCATGTGTGTGACACATTAGGATTGCTCTTTTCTTCTCTGCTCCAGGGAGTATGTGGCCTCCCGGTGGCATTTGTATATGGTTATGAGACACATTTGCTTATTTAGTTCTGTCTCAAGACAGAAAGGGAGATTGTAGGAAATGTCATTTCCTCTAGTTGAACCTGTTTATCATGGTGATGGGCACAAAATGAGAAGAAACAAAAAAGAAAGTAGTTCCTTGTCCTTCTCTGGATACCACTAGACTAACCTTCCATGCCTTGTCATGACCTTTTATCATTGGCTCATGAAGAATATCAGAGAAGATATAATTTTTGCCTGTGCAATTCTCTCAAGCGGTAGATCATCATTTTAATCTAACAAAGATCTTCCCTTCCAACTGTTACTCAATTTGAAGTCGCACTCAGCCAAATGAAACTGAGACAGTGCTCACTGATTCTCCATGGCTTTCCTCAAGCAGAATATCCTGGTTTAAACCTTGCATAACACACACTAGTGCCTCCTAAATCTGCAGAAGTTGCGTGGAAATTCTACCTATAAAAAAAATGTCCTTTGAAAATGAGAACTAGGACACACGGTTGAGAAGAAAGGAGCATTTGGGGAACGGTGTGCAGGGATAAGTTGAATTGTTTCCTTCTTGTTTATTAGATGAAACCACATTTACTTCTTCTGTTTTAAACCTAAAACCTGAAGAGTAAAACTTGCTTGTGATTGTAGCATACAGCTCCAATCCCTCTTAGGCCAAGTTCTTCTCTTAGTTGCAACAGTGCTAGCACCTATATCAGTACATCTCCACAGGCCTTGATACACATGCAACAGTAAAACTGGGATGAGAAGCAAACAGGTGACATTTTGCACATCAGAGGCCCCATCTACACATTACACTTAAGGTGTGATCAACCAGTTAATTATGCCTTGAATGATGACTCAGCCACATATTCAATCAATTAACAGCATGATAAAAAGAGGACTAGACTATATGTAATAACTTTGTAGCTGCTTTCTATCACACCATTAATTGTATGTATGGCCAGGAGGCCTCATGGTTGGAAGCCCTGTCAGCTTGTCAGAGCTCTTAGCTGGTTGGGGCATGTGCACCCCAAGCCTGGCAGCTCCCAATTGACAGGACTCCCAGCTGCAAGGGGCCCCATACACCCCTGTGCCTGGGACATTGCAACTGCTATGATGTCTCAGCCACACGGGAACCCCACACACCCCCAAGGCTGGAAGATCACAAGTTCTGTGCTCTCCCAGCTGCTATGACTTCCCAGCCATGGGGGGCATATAACAGAGGACCCAAACCCAGTTATGGAGAAGAGAGGGCCAGGGAAGGAGAGTCAACAGGGCCCCTTTAATCCCTAAACCTTTGTAGCCTGCAGGGGGGAAGGATTACCAGCTGCAAATCAAGACCCTGCCAGTGTGGCCACAGTGGAGGAGATTTTGGCTACCAAGATAGACACGCAGCTAGACAGGAGGGGTCAAGAAGCTTGCCATAGGTAGGAGCAGGGACCTCCAGAGGGGAGATGCCAGGCTCTGGGCTGTGGACTCACCCTTTCAAAGCCTAGCCTGCAGTCAGCTGACTGCTGATTGACTGAGCTATAAATTCTGCTTAGGACAGATGAGGGAGGCTGACCCCAATGGCGAAGGGAGATGGGGCTCTTCAGGGAGGCAAAAGGGAACTCACTTGTGGCCAGGATTGCTGCTGCCTGGGAGTAGGAACCTTTCTCAATGGAGAGTGAAGGAGCAAGCATAGAGGAAGTACTAAGGGCTCTCTTTTTTTTGGTGCTTTGGGAGGACCCTTGAATGAGGGGTATACAGAGAGCTAAGGGCTGTTCTTGTTAACCCCAAAAGGAGCCCTGGGGGACTGAGTGTATTGGCCCAGGAGTGGTCTGGGGGAGCCACAAGAACCAAGCAGAGGTTGTGGAATCTCCATCCTTTTTAAGACCCAACTAGACAAAGCCTTAGCTGTGATGATCTAGTTGGGGATGGTTCTGCTTTGAGCAGGGGGTTTGACTAGATGACCTCCTGAGGTCCCTTCCAACCCTAATTTTCTATGATTCTATGACTGTTTATGAGAGACTGATACAGCTCTGCTTTTTGGTTCTTTTCTTTTCTTCTGTGATCATTTTCGAAACAACACCTGGTACACCAGAGCAGATGAGGGGAGGCACAGAGGCCACAGAGCAGAGTATCCATCACCCTGCCATTTTCCCCCTGTGTTTTTTTGTTTCCTTTTTTCATATTGCTTTTGTTGGCTTCAGAGCAGGAGGCCTAGGAAAGGGTCAGGCCCTGACTAAATTAAGATGGGCTGGAGCCCAACAGGGGCTGAGCCCCCACCCACAGACAGAGAGAAGGGATGATCCCTGCAATACCTGGTCAGACCTGCGACTGGAGGAATTACTGGGGGAAGCAAAACACCTCCTGCCAAGGTTTCCAGTACCTAAAAGCAGCCTCCTGAAATAATATCTCAATTATAACACCAAGATATGACATGAGGGAGAGAAAGAAGCCAAATTAGGGAGCTGGACTGGGCAGGCAGGTGCAGCCCAGTCACCTAGAGATGCACCCTATTACAGGGCACACCATCCAGCCCTGCAGTTTGGGGGATCATAGCAGCTAGTCTCTCAGCCACAGGGGTTCATAGGGCACCCCTGAGGCTGGGGGGCCCCCCTGGGGGGGGAAAGCCCCTTCAGCTGCGGGGGCTTCCAGCTGCAGGAGCTTGCTTCTTGCCAGTGCAGAGGGGCCCAATCCTGGCTCCCCCTGCATCAGCAATAAGATGTGATGAGTTTTGATTAACAATCCCTCAATCATGCCTCCTGCTGTGCACATGTGGCATGGCAGGAGGCACAATTGTGTGGATCATGCATTAGACCCCATCATAGATTTACCTGCACATGTGGAGGGCTCCAGGGAAAGAAACAGAAATTTGGCAGATCTACAGTGAAAGACATCTAGCAAGCTTCTTCTATAGAGGAGTTTGAGCATATTAAAAAACAATCTCAGTGTTAAACTGAGGAGATTTGCCTTGGATGATTATACAGTAGACTGGATAGCAAACTGACTCAAGGGTCGCATTCAGAGAGTGGTGGTGGATAAGTCAGTTTCAATCTGGAAAGATGTGTGCAGTGGAGTCCCTCAGGGCTCAGTTCTGGGGCCAGTGCTGTTCAACATCTTCATCAGTTATCTGGATGAGGGGGTGGGAAGCACCTTGTCCAAATTCCCGGATGACACAAAAATATGGGGTGAAGCTAACACCCTGGAGAGGAGGAACTAGATCCAGGCTGACCTAGACAGGTTGGGGAAGTGGGCAGAGAGCAACAGGATGCAATTCAATAAGAACAAGTGCAAGGTGCTGCATCTGGGGAGAAAGAACTGCCATCATACCTATAGTTTGGGGGGCGACCTGCTCAGAACCACTGAGGCAGAAAGAGATCTTGGAGTCACTGTTGACTCCAGGATGAACATGAGTCATCAATGTGATGAAATAGTCAGCAGAGTCAATTACACCTTGTCGTGCATCCATAGGTGCTTCACAAACAGGTCCAGGGAGGTGATTCTCCCTCTCTATGCAGCACTGGTCAGGCTGCAGCTGGAGTACTGTGTTCAGTTCTGGATGCTGCAGTTCAAGCAGGATGCGGACAACCTGGAGAGGGTCCAAAGACGAGCCACTCGTCTGATTAGAGGCCTGCAGGAAAAGCCCTATGAAGAAAAGCTAAGGGACCGTAACCTTTTCAGCCTCTCCAAGAGAAGGCTGAGGGGGGACCTTGTGGCGGTGGACAAATTCATAAGGGGAGAGCAACATTAAGTAGGCAATGATCTGTTTACCAAGGCACCTCCTGGAACAACAAGGGACAATGGCCATAAGCTACTGCAGAGAGGAAGGTTTAGACTGGACATTAGAAAAAAGTTCTTCACAGTCAGGATTACCAGGATCTGGAATGGACTTCCAAGGGCGGTGGTGCTTGCCCCATCCTTGGGGGGTCTTGAAGAGGAGACTGGACAGGCACCTGGCTGGGTTCACATGACCCCAGGTTTGGTGACCCTTTTCTTGCCTGCCAGGGGCAGGGGGTCTGACTAGAAGGCCCACTGAGGTCCCTTCTGACCCTAGAATCTACGAATTTATGAACATAACCAGTACCAATATCTCTATGCAGATGGAGCCATACAGAATGATATTTTCAGGTTTACTTTTCTGGTATGGAAGAAACGGGGAGAAAAATATATGACACATTCTAACATGTTGCAGAATACATCCTACTTCTCTTTTTTTGTGAAGAAATATACGTTAAAAAATTACATGCTCAGAGTGACCTAGAGAGGTAACAATTGTATTATAGCCTATGTAGGAAATCATAAACCAGAAGCCAGCTTTGAATTCTAATCCAAGAACATTGGAATGTAAAGTAAAATATATTTATTCAGAGAGCTAAAAAAGACAGCTACACCGGTTTTGTGTCACCTTCTCCCTAGAGTTGCTTCGGAAGCAGAAATAAGTAAAGTAGCCTGAAAAATAATGAAAAAAGTCAACTGAATTTGCATGCGCTTCTGAAGCAATGAGGATGTTGACATGGCTCACCAGTAAAAGTATTTGTGGTTTGCCAACCAAAGCCAGAGCTGCAGATAGCTTCCTCCTTGTGCCACCACTGTATGTCCTCACCAGTTTGTCAACATGGGTGTCCAGATGTAATCGGCTAACAAGGTCCCCAGCTACCTGCAATCAAGAAATGGCAAAAATAGTAGGCCTCGTGCATTCAACTAGACAGTCTGAACTAGCACAGATTTTTTTCCCCCACTAAACTTTAAAAATAAATATTTCCTCTTTTCTCATCTGAGGCATTGTATGATTATCAAATCATAGATTGAAGACTTGCTGGAATCTGTCAGGCAAAATGTTAAGAATCAAAGGCTGTTAAGGGGACCCATGAAAATTAAGACAGTGTTCTGAACAGAAAATCTGGCTTTGTTAACTCTTGTAACAGTCATTCACCAAGCATTTTGGATCACTGAGCCATTAACTTAAAATGCTCCTTCTTCCAATGTGTTTTCTCAGTATTGATTAGATCCCACACATTTTTCAAGTGCTAGAAAATATGATGGAATGAAATAATAGGTCAAACATAAAAGTGGGAATTGGCAGAAGAGCAGTTACACAAGTAAGGGCTTTTGCCCTTCCTAAAAGATTGGATTAAACTAGATTTAGCTCTGATCAATCTCTTTACTTGGGGACTCTGGACTGATGAGAGGGCACAAATTAGTCTTCACTCCCACTATTTTAGATCATTATTGGGACCAGACTGATCTGACCTTCCATAGAGGCACAAGTGGATAGAAGTATCCAAGTAGCTCTCTCCAACTTTGGACTCACCAGCCCAGGGCAAGATACAGATCTTCTGTTCTTGCTCAGTAAGCAAAAGCCAAATGTGTGTGCACTAATACTAGTGCCAGCTTCCCTACATGGGAAAATCTAAAACGGCCCTCAATCATCTACATTGGCCAAGGAACTGGACCTGTTCAAGGGTGAGTCAGGGATGTAGTAGGGACTTCTAAGCGAAGGAGTCCTAGACACAATGTCCCTCAGAGCACCAGCTGGTAGGGGCACTGCAATAATCTGTGGGAAAGATGTGCCATTTGAATACAGTAAGATCCTTAATATACCTGTTTTGTTTTTCAGATACAATGAGCCTGGAGTGCCCACCCTTCAGTGGCTGTGGCAGAGGAAGTAGGGGGTGGCATGAGTATTTGGCAACAGTCATTAGTTTGCTATATTTGAGAACCCCTGCCAGGGATTCCCCAACGAGGGAGTTACCTAAATTTACCTCCCTCCTGTCACCAGAAGAGGTCATGGAAAATTGCAAGATTAAGATTGGACCAAACAGACAGGACCCAGTTAGTTTGTGGAATTCAGTGAGCAGCATATTAACAGAGAAAAGTGAATATTTGTTGCCTATTTCAAATAAGCTCATCTATTTGTGCTCATGCCTTTGTGAATAAGAGTATATTAACACGTTTCCTTAATGTAAGTTTTCTTGTGGAATAGGCACACCCGCACCTGCCCTCAGGCATCCGGCTCAAGCGGTTCCAGGGAGCACCACAGCTGTGGAGGGAAGCACCAGGCCTCCATACAGCTCAGGCAGGAAAGCAGGCTCCAGGGTGGAAAAAAAATAAAATAAGGCTCGCCACTTTTCTTGGGTGGAGCTGCTTTCCCAGGCTGCTGCCAGGCTGCCTGCAGGGCTTCCTGCAGAGCTGTGGAGCCACACGGAGACCAGTGTTTTGCTCCATGGCTGTAGGGGCAGCAAACTAAAACTCCTCGAGGGAGTTTTAGTTTGCTGCGCCCCAAGTCATTTAAGGTGCAGTACGCCACCGAATTTCCAACAGCAGCCAGAATTCATTCGCAATACGGCACTGAGCTCTGCAAACACTGACACCATTAAAGCGATGCAAAAGCATTTAGCCCACTTTAAAGTGTTGTGCACACATGCTTCTCATTTTGTCTACACACGGCTGAAAACTCTAGTTATCCAACCACAGGCTCTGATTATACACAGCTCTGAACACCTTCATAATCCTTTGAGACAAAATGACATTAAGAAAAAATAGTAATAAAAAGTTTGTATCAAAACCAGAATGTCAACAGTATTTAAAGTCAGTATCTTTGATATATAAGCAGGTAGCTTATCTGCTAATCTGACTTTTGTTTATTACCATGGGAAATATGTGCACACTACTGACTGTCAGGGTTTTTCTCTATAAATGCAACAAAAATGCACTGAGACCTGTATGGAATAGTTCATAAAATCTGAAAGAAAAGGACAGAGTTAAAATATGTGCTTTCCTGCTCAGATCCAAATCAATATGCCATAATATTTCAAGGAATCTCAAGTAATACTAAGATTTATTGCATTTTAACAAAAATATGAAGGAGAAGATTGCGGTGTTTCAGCTATATCAATGAGCATATTTGAACTATAATCAGAACTTTTTCTAACACAGCTTGAGTCGTTACTGTGACTCTCTTAATATAATCAGCAAAATGATTTTTATTTTAAAAGAGGACAGTGAATAAGGCAGGGGAGGAAATTAGAGAATTGAGGAATACTGTCAAAGAAGACACAGAAAGTAGTTAGAAGAAGCAAAGTCAGATTTTAAAGTTTGCCACCCCCAACTATGCCGAGCCATGAATCACAAGCTCTTAACACACTATCCCAGGAATAATATAGAGAGCAACTTTGTCATTTTCCCCCTTTAAGAAGAAATACAAATACAGTGTTCTTTCCAGGTTGTGAGGTAAATCTTGCCTTTGTTTAATTTACCTAAACCCACAATGCTACTCCATGCTTATTATTTGCTCGAGAGTATTCAGTGCATAGACACTCATGACTAAGTTATGACCTAGTTGGCACAGCAAGGGAAAGCAGAGGTTTGGGCTTGTAAATTCTCTGTTACAGACATTTTGCTGGCTCCAAATGATTTCTCAATGCAAGGGGAAGATTCATTTCATGGCACTCACTGTGCCGCTGCTTAGAATGCATGGAGCTTGCAAGTTAACTCTTGCAGATGATTGCAGAACATAAGCAAGTTAGCTGGACATGTAGATATACTTCTGTTGCACAGTCCAGAGGAGAGGCATCAAGTCAATGGTTTGTAGACTGATGAGTTATAAAGTTGTCACACTTATAAGGTGATGCACTGAGTACAATGGAGAGGGTTTGATTTCCTGGTTGCACTTAGAAAAGAGACTTCCTATGTCCTTGTTATCTCCCTCAGCCCTTATGCACTGGTGGAAAATATTACAATTAAGCCCAACAAATATAAGCTCAGTCTACTGCACCAAGCAGCAGATGACTTCACCCCCTTTCTTTTTTGATAATTATGGGTGTGTTCGCATGTGTGCAGATGTGTACATCTGCAAATGTCTACATGATTAGATTTGCAGTCATGTCTCAAGCTCATTAATATAACATAAGTTTTAATTAAGATGCTGTCTATATGACATTTATGTTAGTCATACTGTAGAATAACTAATGCATTTCCAGTATAACTTCATTAATCTGCACAATTTATGATGTAATTGTGCTTTGAAGGGTATTACCCAGTAAAACAGACTTTAAAATACCTTTCAGTTTGCCTGTACCCAAATATTCAATGGCAACATTGCAAAAAATTATGCAGAAACCATACACTGAATTAGAACCATCTGAAAAATAAGTCTTTTGTTACCCAAGAAGTATTTTGAACTAGTGAACATTGCAAAAACAGTAACTTTTTGTGTTATCTAACTCAAAAATATTTTATCAATTTTCTTCCAATTTTAAAGAAAAAATGATCTACTGCCCTTCACAATAAACCTAGCAATTTTAGCACAAGCTCACACTGGTAACTAAAGTTGTAGGAGAAGCAACACTAATGTTTCACAATCTTAAGCCTTGATTCTGCACAAAGCTCTACATAAACCCCTTGCTACATGGAAAACAAAATTCTAGGAATAGATTTTGCTCTTAGATTCATAGATTGTTAGGGGCTGGAAGGGACCTTGCAGATCATCAGGTCCAGGCCCCTCCCCCTCCCCCTGCTCTAGGCAGGAAGTCAACTGGGGTCAAGTGACTGTCCAGTCTCCACGCCATGGAAATCATTAAAGTACCAGGGTTTACAATGTCACACACTCTCTTCATAGAGTGCAAGTCAAGGCAGTTCTGGGTTGCCACAAAAATTCACCTGTTTGAAGGATTAAATAAAACAGAACTACTTGCATGTTCCTATTGACTAACTTTTCAGTTTTGAAATGCTCACTGAACATTAAAGCAGCATGACTTGAAAAGATGCAATCCAAGCATTAAACACTGCATTTCGTATCACGTTTGATGCTGTTCAGGTTGGTGGGTTAAAGATAGATAACAGATGTTGAAACTTTTACCCTTGTAACACTGTGCACCCATTTCTACTGCATTTACTTTGATGACTTGATGAGATTCACTGTGGTATGAGAGATGACACCTATCCCATTACTTCTCCTAAGATACAAACTCTGAAATGTATTGATGTACTAGACAAATCTAATAAAAATAAACACTCTTTTATTGTGATGATTGTTTGAACATCCCCAGGTCTTTGCTTTAATCAAGTTCAAAGCTAATCCTATCCTAGTGTTGTTATATTGTGGGAGAAAATACATTTTTAATTTAACTTCAAGTTTTATGTTGGTAGCAAATGACCTGTTTCCCCTTCCTTTCCCATTTGGTTAATTACTGTTTTGGAAGTTTAAATGCACTCAGCATTGTGTCAGGTACTGGACTCCTGTTGATGATAAATCTGCATGGCAAAGAATCTGAACCTTGAAGTTATTGCTTTAATAGATTATATTTATTTAGGCTGTGTGGCATACTCTTAAGTAATCTACTCACCTGCCAACTTACTGAAAAACAAGATGGACTCAGATTGCTTTCTACCTCCAGATCAAACAAATGCACTCCCTAGTGCATTGTCTGTTTTGCGCGTGTATGTGTATTAACACAAGCACTTATTGGTAAACACTCAGAGGCTCGACTACAACATCACGTAACAGACAAGAGTGAGAGAACAGCAGCAATAATTTATGTTTCTGTAGAACCCGCTGTTCCCTGGGATCCCCAGGCATTCTGCCTCACACATTTAAATTGAAAACAAACTTTTCACAGGGACCAGTTTATCTACTGCTGAAATACAACCATTTCAAAG